GCGCTGAAATTCGTGTACATTTGAAAAAAGCAAAGCCATACAATGTGGTGGGAATCAGCTGACATTCGTGATTTTCTATAGTAAATAGAAGACTGGTATTCATTTCAAAGCCTTTATTTATTGTCAGCCGTATGATGTGTAATCTAATGCTAAAGATCAAAGATGAATTAAACATTTGGAAAAGTTGTGTGTGAAATTAGGAAATTTGCACAACATAAGACTGGTCTATAAAATACAAAAATGTATGAAAAGTTCATTATTTTTCCTATAGCAAGCGAGAGCTATTTACCTGTGTGACCCGTATTGAACCCACCTGTGGAATAAATTATTATGAATAATCACGTGAGTTCTACCAAGGTAAACCATTCATCAAAGGTGTTCACCGTAAAACATTGCCACGTTTAATATCGTTCGCCAAAGTCGTATCGCTTTAGAGATGTTTGCACCTATTTAATTTTATTTTTAAAAAAAAACAAAAAACGGGAGGGTAAAGGCTTAGTGTCGTTTTAATTGTCATCATACATAAAGATGGCATTTTACCATTCACATTGAAAGGCGATGATACCGGTATTGAAAGTCATTTTGTTATGCTTCTATAGATAAATACAATAAATTACATACATGTACATGTATTTGATATCATGGTAACCCATCAAAAGCTCAAAAGCTTATTTTCTATGAGTTCTTAAAAATACAGATGGAAAACATAATTAACCAATAATTAATTAAAGTTAATTTTCACAACTCTAAATGAAAATGATTTGCACAAACTTTTTGACCCAATGTTTCATACATATGACGCTTTACTGGTTTTATATAACATTGATAACAGTATGGCAGTGTAAAACACTTTGCCCCTTCTGCATCTAAATACCTTAAGGACATACGCAACGTAGTTTGAACTTTATTGTCTTTTTCCCAGGAGCTGAAGAGTTCCAATATTTAAAGGAACTTTGTGCTACATTTTAATGCCTGTATATGCTGTTGTAAACTTCTTCTAAAAAAGTTTGGATAAACAAAACAACTAGCATATATGTTTAGTAATTTTGGTATATTTTTCTTTGAATTATACAAAAATTTTCATCAACTGATATCTTTCCAAAACCCCTGGTAATGCATGCTGATTTTTTGTCTACGAACATCTGATGACACTATAATCTTAAATTAAGAATATCTTGAAAAATTATCAGTAGGTAAGGTACGTTGCGTATGTCCTTAAAAATTGATAAACTAATATTAATCTTTATTGTATTATTTCGAATGTAAGCGTGCAAAATTCTTAGTTTGGTCATTATTGCTACAGGCAAATACACAGATTTATTCGATTTTTTCATAGATAAACTGGCAAGAAGTATCTTTCGGAAAACGGGCCCATTGATCCACCATCAGATTGTTCAAGTGTCGATTTAAATGCGCCCCCCCCCCCCAATTAAATATAAGTTCGGTACGACTTTTCCAGATTTACCCCGGGGTATGTATAGGATTTTAAAATCTACAAGTATTTAAAATCCTTGATGATTTTGGTGATGTTTAACGTGATTTTAAATTAGAACTATCCACCAGTGTTTAAGTTTTACCGAAGGAGAACGATTTGGTAATATTTTCTGGATTTAAGCGGCAATGAAAAAAGACCCATTCGCTATTGCTTAAGTGCACTTGTCCTTTGATAAAATCGTTAACGCAGTGACTAGAGCGGGGCCAAAATATAGGATCAAAATTTTTCATAGGAAAATTGTGGGGAAAAAAATCTTTCAAAAATATCTTTCTGAAGAACAGCAGGGCTAAAGTGAATCGGGTCAGCGTTGTGACCCATGGGCCGCTGATTATTTCCTTTTGTGGCTCAAAATGGCAAAAATTAAAGGTTTTTGTCCCCTTCCAAATGTACCACTTTGTGGTATATTTACAGCTCCAATCCAGACTGAGAAAAGTAAGCCTTTTGTCTCAGGATAAGGTTGATAAGAAACGACCACTATTACCCTTCTCAGTAAGCAATGTGAAAAAATGACTGCCTTGGGTTAGCCAATTAGCTCGTTAAGCTCTGCTCTGCCCTCTCAGAACTGAAAAGGGATATTTACCAAGAACCTCTACTCTTCTGTAGTATTCTTTATTTAGTTGACTCAAGATGGTGGATATATAAATGGTGAAAAAAAACGGCCCAATTTTTGTAGTATAGTCCACTCTGAGAATGGAGTTGATAGTTCTATGTGCCTATTACCCTGGCCAGGTACTGCGATATCATCATTGTTTTTGGGGGAAAATGTTCGTGCATTTCAAGGATTTTTTTCCTAACCCCCGAATTTACATCCCTACGAAGGATAACTCTTCAAATTATCAGTTTATTTAGTAAACTGCATATGAGTTACAAACGAAATTAAGTCTCCACAAACCATTAGAATTTTGTTTGCCCCCAGATATGACCCCAATGGTTTAAAATGATTCCACAATCATGTCCCCATTTTCTTGTGGAGAAATAAATGTTTGAAATGTTCGCCCGTCCTCTGGCACCACTAGGTGTTACCCCCTACAGTCATAATAGTGGGAAGCGAAAGCCATATAAACTTCATTACCCTTACATGATAATTATTTTATGTACATAACAAAGATAATGGGCATACCCCAATCTCACTCTATATTCTGGAAAAAAATCCCATTGAGGTCATTGGCTATGTCAAGCCTTTTCTAATCCATTTAATGTAATAAAGTATGTAAAAATTTCTGTATCTTTTTTTTATAAAGCTAAAAAATAGTAAAGAAAAAAATTACACTCATTATTAACTGTCTCAATAAAATAACCGTTCTGAATGGCTTTAATTCTTTCATGGATGTGTTTTTTTAAGTTTGTTTTATAGCTTACAATATTTGAATTTTTCAATTAATAATTGTCCTATTTGTGTACCGTTTTGGTGAGTTTGAATTCCTTCAATTTCAGAAACGGTATTTTATTTTAGGATCAATTTCAAAGAAGTTAATTATAAATTATATTTACATGTATTTTATTTTTTCTACATTTATATTACTTTATCTGATAAAATTAAAACCATTTCCTTATCTAATCAAGATTAATTGACTCGAGCGTGTCAATCATCATGCATATTGGTATTACATTCATTATGATGAAATCTAATGTTCCATCTGCATGATCTGAGTACTCTCAGTATTTTTAAGAATGTCCTCATTGACTGTTAACTTCTATATAGCCGCTGTTAGTGCCTGCTTACTTCATCCTCGTAAAATTATTTGAATAAACAGTTATATAAAAAAAAATGAACAGTTCTAATTAAGTCAATTGTATATCTTATTATAACTGGTCATGGTGGCCTAGTGGTGGGGCTTTCGCTTCGTGAACGGGAGACCCAGGTTCGATTCTCGTTCGCCGCGCCGCGTCAAACCAAAGACGTAAACATAGATAGTTACTGTTCCTTCGCCAAGCGTCCGACATTACATGAAAGTCACGGGTCTTTCGGATAAGACCTTAAAATCCAAGTTCCTGTGTCACGGTAGGCGTTGGCACGATAAAGAACCCTCACTACTAAAAGGCCCTGAGTGCCGAATATAGGTCTAAATTTGAAGCCCTTCACAGGTATAAGTTGACGTCTCTATATGATTTATTATCTTGCAATTACATCGCAATAAGGACTTATCTTCAGATTGCTTATTGATACTCTGGATTTTCAGCATTTTAAAAACATTTTCCGATAGGCCTACTTGTAAGGTTAGTGAACATATGCTTATATTATTGTACCATGTAAAAGGCATAGGAAATAAGAGACAGTTTTTATGAATATTGCCGGGACATATAGTGTTTGTCATGTCCGTCTACCGTCCTTCCGTTTTTCTGTCCTTCTGCCCTTAATTCCGTCACACTTTGCGTATAGCTTAGTTTAAAAAAAAACTATTTAAGATATTTTTATCAAACTTCATACGTTGATACACATTGATGAGAGCTATTCAACTGCTTCAACATATTTTGACCTTAACCTTCCTTTTGGTTTTGACCAGTGGTCTGCTCAGTTTCAAAGAAACTCTTCAAGATATTTTTACCAATCCTTATATTAGGGTTCTCCATCGTTTATAATTATACGGTGTCGCAAACTATGCACGATGCACAAATATTCGCGGAATTCACAGCCATTAAATTCGCACAGCTTTTTGTATTGCTACATTGAATCAGAATTGCTATGATTGTGCGTATTAATTAGATATCAATTAATACATATTAAAAAACAATTTGAATGTTACCAATATATAATTGTGAACATACTATTACACAAGCGATCTGATATTCTAGAGATACAAGTGAAACGTAGTGGAAACGTAATAGAACCATGAAAGGGAATAACCTGAAACCTCTTTGGAAATATATTGTTCTAAGGGTATATAAGTCAGTGCAGCTGGCATTTGAGGCGGAATGTCTGTGAAGTCTGCTGAGTGCGGTTGAAAGACGAAAGGTATATTTAATAGCTGAAGAAGTAAGGCTAGGGTAGAATTTGAATTAGCTCACTAGCGGTAGTGGTATTTGGGGAATTAATTTGTGTGTCAGGAGGTAGTAGATCTTATTAGATCGAGGCGCCTGATTCACTATATTAATAGGAACCCTTATATCAAGAATACGCGGTGACGGGTTACCCAGTCACATTTAGTACTTAAAAAATACTGTAGCACCGGTAAAACCTCTGATAGTTTAATTGTCTTCTAATTATATATACAGAATCATTATACTCAGGAAGAGTACGAGGAAAATCAGATCCCTTAAAAAGAACCCTGGTTAAGATATGTTCAGATAAACACGTTACACAAGTAATTCACAATGCGAGCTGTAGCCAGACAATAAGCTCTAGTTAAAACATGATATTTCAGCAAAATACTCAGTCCCTGCAAATTTTACTTCTTCTAACATTCTATAGTTCATTTGATAAAACTTTCACAAGCGAAAGTCTAGAAAAGTATTCAACTTTTAAGAATAAAAGCGAGGGATTGTATCAAAAGTAGTTCCGCGCTGAAGTAAAAATTTTGTTTCATTCAATAGGATTTAATCCACCACTAGAATGAGATAAATATGTTTATCTTCATACAATTTTTTTTCAAAACTTTCTGTTGATGATTTTTTACACTTTGTAGATAATTAAATAACACTGCTTTCAAATTGACTTTATGATTTCCCTTTATTTTTTAACCAATGGAGGCCCAGCTCCCCCATTCTGACCATCCTCTCCATGACTGCAATTCGTCAGAGCATTCCTCCTTTGGAGGCCTCTTCTTGGGTCGTTTTGGTCTCGGTCTTCTAGGTCTCGGTCTCCCAACTCTCGGGTTTTTCCTTGGTTTTTGTTTTGGTCGTCTCGGCATTTTCAAACCAGGGGCTTTCGGTTTCTTTTCTCCTTTGTTGTTTTTTCTTATCCTTCGTTGTCTTCTGTTTTTTCTTTTTCTTCCGAAAAACCGTCTCAACTTCTTTTTAACTTTATATATTTTTTCTTTTATCTTTTTGATGACTTTCTTTAGACCTCGTTTCATCTCTGATCCATCTCCTTCTATCGGTAGTACATACAATATTGAATTAATACAGCAAACAATGGTGTTATTTAATTAAAAGTATGTACATGAACATTACATGATTTTTGATACCTCGGAGTTGAAACTATTGCATCAATTTTTATTATTTTATGTAAATCTAATAGTGTTCCATATTAAAGAGTGTAGCATATTATTAACACTTCTACTCATACATACATAAATTTATACTTTTTTTCTATTCCTTTTATTCTGTACTTGGGTATATATGTTACATAATTCCAGATAGCAATTTTGAGGCATCCAGTCTGTAATTGTACCATGTTTATTTAGCATTTTCAGGTGAAATGAAATTTAATTTTGAAATTATAGACTAGTCGCATTTTTCAGTATAGAATATATGTTATCTTATATATATTTTCCTATAACAGATTAACATTCTTATGCATACTTCGCCTTATCCTCAGGTATTGTAAAATCAAGTTTGTTCAAAACATGACCCTTGGGGATAGGATGGGTCCCAAATGCTCCATCAAGTTTTACATAGGAAGAATGTATTTCCATTAGTACACGTACTTAAATTCTTATTTAACAAACTGATTTAATATTGACCTACTTGTGACACAGACTTCAGCGACTCTTTCCTCAAACGGGCTGTAGACACAATCACAGTCCATTCCCTTGCAGCTTTGACATTCAAAAACTTCCCTCACTGTAAGGTCAAATAAGTGAATGAATATATAATAGATAAATAAATAAATAGATTCAAGGAGTAGAATGATTTTAATTCACAGAATCATTAGACACACACATTGAAAAACAATAAAAATTTCAAAAAGTTAGACAATTATAACAGGAAATCCCAAAAGACAACATAAATGTGACAAACTTGATGACTTCAGCGTTTCAATTGTCAACTTCCCTTATCTATATAGTCATATTCCACTTTCCACTGCATATGGTGTTTATGTATCCCAGCTGATTCGGTTTCCAAGAGCATATGTTCTGAGAAGAGTCAATTTTTAAACCAAAACAGGCTATTAACAAATAAGTTGATGTTACATGACTTTCAACGATCTCTGTTAATGTCAGCATTTTGAAAATTTGCTTGCTAATACAAGCATATCGATGGGTCGTATTTTGAATGAAATGTTTAATTTCCTACCAGTAGGTCATTCTTTTTCTATCAATATCAGCTACATATTACCCGTTTACCAGATCAATAGAGAGGGCTCACGGCGGATATTACAGGGGATGCTTAATCCCTCTAGATAGCCAAGCCCGTCTCTGGTGTTTCCAGGATTTTTACCTCGTACTTGTAGTGAATATATATATATATATATATATATATATATATATATATATATATATATATATATATATATATATATATATATATATATATATATATATATATATATATATATATATATACAAAGAATTTATGAGATACATCGCCATTGACAATGTAAATAAAATACAACTACACGTTTATTTTCCTTTTAATGAAGCATTAAACCTGAATTCCAATAGTTTTATGCCAGTCTGTAGAATCACTTTCTAGTTAGAGGTTATAAACTTGAATTACTAAACAATAAGAATTCTTACCTGAACAAATCTCATCTTCACACTTGCTCTTGATTTGGTTGCATTCTTTATCCGATTTCATGCAAGTACAGTCCATAAGAGACTGCTGAGTCTGTTCAATATTCTGGAAATTAATTTGGTTTCTTTAATAGTTTCACCATTTTTTTCACCAATGAACCAAATTGCCTACTTCATTCATCATTTCTTTAAAATGATCTTAGATTTGAAATTAAACAAGTTATTTAAATCTATCAAATTTTTAAATTTTTATGTGATAATGGTTGACGATAAATTATATTCTCTTCAAGACACAATATATTACTGACTACATGATAATATAGAGACTTGGTAAGGAAGCATCAAAAGATACTGTCTTGAGTTTTTGAAACTTTTTGACCCGTACCATCCTGTCAGGTCATAAGATAGCTATGAAATGAATTAACCCATCGCTGGCTAATTCATCAAAATTATTGAATTTTTGAAAATAATAACAATATAAAGGACATATCGGAGTAAAGTAACATAATTTTGACACCTCAGAAGTGCGCATAAGACGTTACAATTGTTACTCGTTTTCTGGCGCATGTAACCCGAAAAATAATTTGACAGAGACCATGTATAAGATACTCACAGTGTTCCGCGGAAAACAAAGGAAAGAGGAAAGAAGACATTGACTTTGTACCACTACAAGACTGCATACTTTAGCATACCTCATCTCCCTGTGCTTTTGTTTGTGCGATGAAAAGGCAAAGTATCCACAGGAGACCAAAGACTCGGCCGTCCATCTTCATGGAGGATCCAAGTCGTGATGATGCTAAGGCTGTATGTAAGAGTGAAATATATACACCTACAAAAATGACATCTTCCAATCAAAAGTTTACAAATCAACGATCTCTTAATCCCAAGCTTTCTCCTAAGGATGTTGCGCCATAATTAATATTCATGTTTTTTTTTGTTTTTTTGTTTTTTTGCTGGAAATGAAACTTTTTTACTGGTGGATTTTACATAGATCCCTATCAGTAATTCAGAGCGTATCTGAGAATCCTTGAACCACAGCGCTCACCTCTGTTTCTTTGTTTATACTGAAAAATAACAATATATAATTTATATAATCTTATCCTGACTTTTTCCTAAATTTTCGACCGTTATCTCACTTAAAGATCGAGAAGCTATAACACAATTAAATGCTTCTTTTCCTCCGTTTCATTTGTGTCTTTACAAATAAAATGAAATAAAGCTTGTTTAACAATTATGATACTCAACAATCTTACGCACAATTTAATGTTCAGATAGTCAAGCAGGATATTGAGTAGAATCATTTTTGTATATAAACGCTTTCCTCTAATGTTTATTTTTAAACCCGTCATTTTGAAATGCGCGGTTATACTGACATAAAGCCTTAACGATGATTATTATGCTGTTCTTATAAAATAATGAACTAGTATCTTCAATACTCACAAGAATTAAATTTAGGAAAGGGAAAAAATCAGTGGGAATGTTAATTTATATAACATAGAACTTCATAAATGGACTTTAGAAACACCTTTTGTAAGGTAGTGATTGCCCAGTACTCTAGTTAAGTCATATATGAACTCTTATGACAACATATGTATATATTTTAAATTGATTTGTATTATTTGTAGTTTATTTTAGATCGATCACTGTTATCTTCTCCTATTTCATTTGTTACCCTAACTTTCCTCTTATGCCTACCTGTTTGAGAGGACATTTCACTGAATATGATGTCCCTTTACCTGTCGATATATATAGGAGTACAATTAGTGCCCCTCGAAATTCCAACCTATTGTTTGAAGAAATGGTTTCTAAAGACTACATAGATGTTGTCAATGAGGAACTTTAAATATAACCCTCAGAGTACCGGTGTAAAGAATCTTTTTTACGGAACAGGCAGTTGTGTTAACAAAAAGACTAATTTTTACTTTATTGTGATGCTACTGACTTAAGAAAGAAATGTGATCTTTAATTTTCTAAAATTCTCTGACATTTTTTGAGAATTCACGTTTGATTTACAATGCATATTACTATTCTTACAATCACGAGTGACTACTAAACAAAAACTTATATAAAATAGTATTTCGGAGTTTCTTTGCTTTAAATTCTCTATACTAGCTAGTTTAATATTTTTTGTATGTTTTTTGTACAGCAAAAATTCTTTTTCACTTAATTTTAAATGCAAGATTTTAATTTTTTTCCTTGTAAGTTTTCAACTGAATCACTTAGTGCATCTTTATAATGAATGACTTTTATGCTGATAACTTTTTCAACCTTCAGTAATTTTACTATAGATATAATCATGCCCATAATAGGTTATAAGCACTTTCCACAATCTTTAGAAAACTATAATAATTATCTCTATAGGTCAATGACACAGAACCTACCCATCTGGGTGTAGTCTCACTCTACATCCGTCAATCCAACAAGTCCTATATTGCATAATTGCACCATCAAAGAATCAGAGAAAATACAAACATGTATTTAGTGTTTTCGTTATGGTTAAGGCAAAGGAATATCCATTGTCTTATGATTAAATTCAATTCATAATTCAAATATTTATCATTTGTCAAGTATATTTTTATTTCGGTCAAGTACTGTGACAAGGAACACGTGACATAAATGAATAAAAATATGAATTAAAGATTTCAAAGAAATAGTTGAAACTCCTTCATTCAATCGAATATTTTATTTTCTTCATTAACCACGAAGGCAGAACAAAAGGGTACCATTAACCTTATCAATGCAATAAATAAGAAAGTTAAATATCTTCTTCTTTTTTTTTTTTTTTTTAAAAATCTGTGACCCTACACGTAAAAATATGCTTATTTTCCAATAAGTTTTTGTATTGGTTCGAGCACGAGGCACATTATTTATTTCATGATAAATAAAGATACATGAAGATTTATTAACCCATGCAAAATCAAATTCTTTTTTTAAAAGAATATTGAACTATAAATTAGACTTCAGGTTCCCTCTTGTCCGAGTTTTTAAATGTGAAAATGTTAAACAAAGAATTTATTAAAGAAGCAAAGAAAACTATGTTTTAACTGATCAAATCATAGAAAGAAGTAGAATAACTTTAATAACATTACATAAATCTATTTCTCCAAAAATTCTTAGTACAATGAATTTGACAAGTGACCTTGCTTCCATGGATCAATTCTTATTCATTGATTTAATAGATGACTATCGTAACATTATGTTACAAAACCCTTACATATATCAGATAAATACTCTTTCCTTTTTCTAATGTTCATTATCGGGTCTAACACATTATAAAAGAAAGACACTGTAAGTCAAAATATAATTAAAAGCTTTGATACTATCAAAGAGGGGGGAAAAGAGAGAAGGTGTCATGTTTAAAGCATAACTCATCAGGATTTTTTGTCTATCATCATTTACCATCTATACCTATGAAATAAGTTTATAAATAACTCCGAAATGCATGCATCGAATTTCATGCTTATTCCTAAAATATCATACTTAGTAAGATGATGTCCATAAACTATATTTAGATTTTACTCTGAAATTATCGTAAATTTAATTAAAAGTCAAATTTCGTTTTCGATAAACAACTGAGAAATAGCAAGAAAGAAAGCGCGGGTTCTAAGTTACTAGCAATTTTAAAGTATGAGGTCTTGTGAAAGACTTGCGATGGATCTTTCAATACACTACTTAACACGCAAAAACACGTCGTTTTAAATCAGAGCATGAGACATCTCGGACTACGGAATATTCAGTCTACCTGATCAATTCAATACTTAGTGCTCACGGCGAGTTTGACTGGTCTACAGGGGATGCTTACTCCTCCTAGGAACCTGATCCCTTCTCTGGAATTTCCAGGGATCCGTGGTTTATGCCATATTCATAGATCTATATTGTTAGTAGTATATTTTAGATCAAACACCGTTCGCTATCTTCACATTTTTCACTTTATTAATTTGAATCTTTGCTTTTTGATGATACAAAGTAAATTATTTTCATATGGTGTTCTCGCAGTCCATTTAATATCACATCATAGATTTACCTGAAGTACGTATTGGAAATAAAACTTGATTGTGAAGCATGCGTTATGTTTGTACTGTTCATTCTTTAGCTTCTTCTTTTGCTAACTCCAAAAACAATCTATTTATTTGCCTGATAAGTGTCCCATTCTTTTTTGGAGAGAAAAAAAAAAACAGTCCATTCTTTTTAAGAACAGAAAGTTTTTTTTCAAAAAGCATTGGACAGTTATAAGAGACAAAATGGAGAGATAGAGGTATATGTTGAAAACTACCTAAGAACAATATCTAAAACGAGTCAAGTTATTGATGAATAAGTTGATAAAACAAGAATATCAACAGTCCTGTTTAAAGTCAACATTTCGCTAATTCTATGGTCGACACAATGCCCTTATCAGCAAATACAATCTATCATTAAGTCAAATGTTGACTGATGTTTTTCATTCAAAATCTTTATAAATAGTTTATTTTTTTACATTAATTCTATAGGTCATGATTTTTCTCCACTGCAAATCACGACAGAGTTTTAAAGGCATATATCTATGCTTCATATAAATTTGACGACATGAAATGTGAAGATAAAACGGTAATCATTCTCAATATTCAATTTAAACAATACAAAGTAAGAATAAAGCCAACAGACCTCTGGAACAGAGGGATTGGGTACCGCGGAGGAGTAATCATCCCCCAGCAGAAATAATTCAATTCTCAAATAACAATATGCATCAATCCGCGTGTACTGTGTATTAAGAGTTACACTTCATACAAGCTCATCTTCAATGTCATCATGTACATGTAATTTTGATTAAATGCTTAAGCTTGGCATTAGTAATTTAGTTAAATCAAACTGACTTTTGATGGAGTATTAAAATTAAGCCATTTAAGATATTTACTATGCTGAATTTTTTTTCAAGCATAATAATTCTCCCTCTTTACAAAATTCCGTCTTTTTTCCCAAGTTTTGGAAATGTCGTATATATTTTAAAATCAATCACAATTATATAATCTTTCATGTATAAGAAATTCTTTTGCAAGCTAAAATATAACAATAAATAAAACAAAATAATTTGCTCTTACTTTTTCGTCTTCTAGATGCAAAAACAAATTCATTGATTTAACGTTTGCCAGGGAAACATGATACGATCAAGCTAATATATAAGGAAAATAGGGAGAAAATTGTAAAATGTGTTCATTTCAAATGATTTGAAAGAATTTTATTTTGGATTAAACAAGGATATCTAACAGTCTTTTTTTAAATCATCATTTCGTACGTTCTATGATCGATACAACGACCTTGTCAGCAAATACAATCTATCATTAAGTCAATGCTGAATGACGTTTTTCATACTTAGGCCGTTATTTACACACTGAATTGTGTACGGATTTTTCCCTTTGCCCGATCATGAAAATAAGCACACGGTTCGTTTCCATATTTCATATATTCTTTTGATTATGACCTTAGATTGAAATAATTGAAAATGCATTCATTTCTGACAGAAACTTTTGCTTTTAAAAGGAAGTCAATATCTTACCATAAATAATTATGGGAACTTTGTTAGCTCGGAAAATATTTATGTAAGCCTTCATTTAGAGAATGAATTATTTTTAATTCTTAAGAGTTACAAAATTACAATTTCCTGATATTAAACGTTCTATGTACGTGCTTTGTATTTGTTATGCCCACTATATTGTAATCAAATTCTTTGGATAGGTCTCTGATTAACTATCTATATGGTAACAGACCGACAACCATGCCAAAAACCATTATTTCTATGCCAGTCGACGGAAACAGTGA